ACAGGAATCCGGGATGTTCAGAATGACACACTACACAATTCCATCCCAAATAATGATGACAATTAGTCAGAGACAATTCAATGTATAACATGTAAAAAGCGAGATACCTCATTTCAATAATCATGTTCTCCAGGGCTCTGGCCTCCTTGTTTTGGCTGAAGCGGATGTAGAAGTGACTGGGAGACTCCGCCTGCTCCACCAGGATGGGCACCAGCTCTCTCTCCCTTCTGCGAATTGGGGACTTCAGCTTCTGGCAGCGCACTGCATCTGGAGGAACTGCTGAGACTCGACTCACCACCAACTCTGGGAAAAGATCCACCATCTACAACAAACATCAACACACGTTGTGTATAATGTCACATATTCATATGATGTTTATAATTATAATGTTACATTACATCTTATATGTATTTGTGTTTATGTATATGTATATGTATATACAAACCCAATTCCAAAAAAGTTGGGACACTGTACAAATTGTGGGTAAAAAAGGAATGGAATAATTTACAAATCTCATAAACTTATATTTTATTCACAATAGAATATAGATAACATATCAAATGTTGAAAGTGAGACATTTTGAAATGTCATGCCAAATATTGGCTCATTTTGGATTTCATGAGAGCTACACATTCCAAAAAAGTTGGGACAGGTAGCAATAAGAGGCCGGAAAAGTGAAATGTACATATAAGGAACAGCTGGAGGACCAATTTGCAACTTATTAGGTCAATTGGCAACATGATTGGGTATAAAAAGAGCCTCTCAGAGTGGCAGTGTCTCTCAGAAGTCAAGATGGGCAGAGGATCACCAATTCCCCCAATGCTGCGGCGAAAAATAGTGGAGCAATATCAGAAAAGAGTTTCTCAGAGAAAAATTGCAAAGAGTTTGAAGTTATCATCATCTACAGTGCATAATATCATCCAAAGATTCAGAGAATCTGGAACAATCTCTGTGCGTAAGGGTCAAGGCCGGAAAACCATACTGGATGCCCATGATCTTCGGGCCCTTAGACGGCACTGCATCACATACAGGAATGCTACTGTAATGGAAATCACAACATGGGCTCAGGAATACTTCCAGAAAACATCGTCGGTGAACACAATCCACCGTGCCATTCGCCGTTGCCGGCTAAAACTCTATAGGTCAAAAAAGAAGCCTGCGATCCACGAGCCGGAGCGAAGCCCCGCGGCTGAGAAGAGGATCGCCTCGGAGATTGAGCCCAACACGTCAGACCAGGTACGAGAGCCAGTGACAGTGCCCACCAAGAGGGAGCACTGTAACACCCCTGTGGACTGTTTGTTGTGGTTTCTTCCCCTTGTGTTGGTTTAGCCCGTCCAATCATTAGTTAATTACCCTCATTGTGTTCACCTGTCTGCCCCTCGTTATCTGCCCTATAAGTTCCTGTCTCTTGTACATTAAATATCCTTATTTTGAATCCTTGTCGTCCTCGTCATCCTCCCTGCCTCCACACACCGTGACCGTGACAATATTACATCTAAATTACATATTATTATTATTATTAAATGATTTATTGTGATTAAACTAAATTATATATTATATATGTATGTATGTATTGTAATTCTTTAGATTATAACATTTTATTTCTAATATAAAACCACATATAATGACAAATTATGCATTTTAAATATACATTCTAAACAAATAATGTACGCATGTATGTATGAATATATACACACAACCTACGTTGAAAATAAGTTGAAGTACTAAAATTAGGAACTAAATTATAATTGACACTGAAATAAAATATAATATATTACAATTATTTAGCAGCAAATAATACCACATATAATGTTTTTATATGATACAAAAATAATATTGTTATATTATCATAATTATTAACAAACCATTTTATTTAAAATATCAACAATTATATGTCAAGGTCAAGGTAACAATTGAATTTTTTTAATAAATAAATACCACGTAACTTTACTAACGTAAACTTTGTAAAGGCGGTCGCACACCGTCGCATCGCAGCACGTCTTTAAAATACGAACACATTATTTTCCATGAGTGTACGCACACCGGTGGCACCGTTCGGCGTCTGTCTGCGGTGCCGAGCTACGTCGTGTTGTACTTGTTGTACGAATTGTTCTAGACGCGGCACTGCGCTTCTCGTCCGGTGTGTGACCGCCTTAAGTTTACTTTAGATTTATATGGGAGGGAATGATAATGAATTATCAATAATGAATCTTAACCTGATGGATGGTTTTATTGGTGACTCTGAGCTCAGTGTCAGACTCTTGGGAATCCGTGTACTGCTCCATCGCTTCACACTCCCAAGCAGACTCGGCACAACTGAAGTAATAGGCTTTGCTGGAGGGATTCTGGGATTCATTCATCAGACTGGAAGTGGTGCCGTGACCCGTGGATAATTCTTGCAAAAGGAATACATCACAATCAAAGTCTCATTAAAGATGATCAATAAGCCAGGAGCACTCATTTTTCTGTTAAAATCAATATGACATATAGTTAAGTACCCGGTTCAGTGGGTTGTATGTCATTCGGGTTGAACTCCACAACCATCCATTGGTTTTCATTCTCACCAGCACATTTTTGAATGGACAATGTGTCACTCAAAGCCCCAACTATTTCCGTCATGCTCAGAAAACCATACTGGCTCACCGGCAACTCCTCACCATACATTCGCGAACAGCAAAAAACAGACCATAAGTTAGAACAGCTCATTGGTGCCATCTAGAAACTCTAGAAAAAAATATGGCTGAGGATACAATGTTTTCATTTTCATAGAGTGATACAATATTCCTACCATCAAATCAAGTTTATTTTGCGTTACCTCTGGTTGACTACATATTATACCTTACAGTTTCAACCCAGAATCTATGAAAGCTTGTTTTTGCCACAGAATAAATAATAATAATAATTTAAAATGTAATTGCCTAATGATTTTTCCCCTCACAATTCTGAAATAATATCTCATAACTCTGACTTTTTTCTTCTCCCTATTTTTAGTTTATATCTCAAAATTCTAACTGAATTGTGAGATATAATTCTGAAAAAAGACTCAAAAGAGAAAAGTTACTTTTTAAAAATGTTTTATTGTTTGGCAGGGGAAAAAAATGAATTGTGAGATGTAAAAAGTCAGAATTACAGAATGTAAACTCACAATTGCAAGGAAAAATTGTGACTTTTCTCAAATTTTAAGAAAAGTCGCAATTACCTTTTCTCTTTTTTATTCTATGGCAAGAAAAAAAACTGAAATCGCAAGATGTAAACTCAGAATTCTGAGAATAAAAAAAGTCAGAACTATGAGTTATAAACTCAGATTGCGAGAAGTCCGAATTTTGATAAATTGTGAGGAAAATGTCAGTGAAGAAGTGTTTGCCCCCCTGTTAAAACTATGGTTTATCACACCCAAGTTCAATTTCTCTAGCCTTTTATTGTGGCCAGCCTAAGGCACACCTGTGCAATAATCATGCTGTCTAATCAGCATCTTGATGTGCCACACCTGTGAGGTGGATGGATTATCTCGGCAAAGGAGAAGTGCTCACTAACACAGATTTAGACAGATTTGTGAACAATATTTGAGAGAAATAGGCCTTTTGTGTACATAGAAAAAGTCTTAGATCTTTGAGTTCAGCTCATGAAAAATGGGGGCAAAAACAAAAGTGTTATCAAAAAAAAAAAATCCTCTGAGATTGATTTTTATAACAGAGGTGCATGCAGAAGTGCAGGTGAAAGTGTATTTCATCAGCGTCTGTGTGGGCAGAAGCAGCAGACTTCCTGAGGCATGCGCTACATCAGCGTTCAATAAGCTGCTCGCGCTGACACTGCACTTTCTGACTTTACACACAGCTTCTGTTCTGATGTATAGCTACTTTTGCTTTTTTCATATGCTTTTTTTAAACATACAGTATAATTTAAAATTTTTCTTAAATAAATGAAATAAAACGTATACAAAGATATGCTACAAAACTACAGGGCCTAAATGTGTAAATAAGTGTTAAAACATTTTTTAAAAATAGGCTAGCCTACAAGCATTCAGTTTATGACGTTAAAAAAAGCGGTTTACATTATTAAAAAAAAGGGGAAAAAAGGCCAATTTATATTTGAAAATAAAGTGTTTTGCAATAAAAAAATTGTCAGGCATATCAACAGAACTGATACATTTTGGCAGATTTATTTTAAAAAGAAGTCTTGTTTTGTATACGTTTATAGTTTTTAAATTGATTTATTATTTAGTATTTTTAATAAAAAAATTATTCTAAATCTAAATAGTAAATATAAATTCAAATGTGTATTTTCTTGTGTGTGTGTGTATATTTATATATATATATATATATATATATATATATATAATATATATAAACACACACACACACACATATACATATAAATAAACATGACCTTGGTATTAAACAAAGATCTTAAAAAGAGAACATGAACTATAATCGTAATATCCTTCCTATTAATACTAAACTTAATAATAATTATATAAATGGCGTTTCACAAAACATTTTGCATTGCCTTTTTATCAAATAATTTTCCATTTACAACACTATGAGGTGAAGGTGAATGTAAAATATTGTAATGCAAAAAGTAACCCAGTTTTGTTACAAAAAATGATTTTCCCCCCAGATTTACCCAGATAACCATTTTCTAAAAGTGCTGTCTTATTTAATTATATTTATATATTTACTAAAACAAATACATAAATATTAGACGGACAGACTGACGGACAGACAGATAGATAAATAGATAGATACTTTTTAAAAACACATTATGTTCCATTCAGCACCTCTGTATAGGTCATTACGACCATTATGGTACGACCATATGTAAAATTCATTAGAAGTGTGCAAACACTCCCCCTGTCATCACATAAACCTGCACAAGCCTACAGACATACTCCCTTTTCAGAACCACAGAAGTCCACAGGAGCAGATCAGACACCAGATGAACCATCACAACAGATGCTCCTCTCACCGATCACTGGACGCTTCTTATGAGGGCGGCCAATAATGGAGAAAAGAGCAGAAACATCTCAGCATTCTTCAAGATCTGGACGGGTAAAGAGAGAGCCATCACCTTCTGCTAAAGAGAGGAAAACCAAAGCGCCCAAATCCGTGAAGCTCCAAGAGCCCCACAAAAGAAAAGAAAAACCAGAAGTGACAGAAGAAGAAGAAGAAAGAGGTGAAGCTAACGAAGCTCAAATCATCTCCAGCAGCACTGTAGTAAACGTAGACAGTGTGAGGGAACGAATAAAAGAAGACCGAGAGGAGTTACTGGGATTACTGGAGACCGAAGGGTCTGGAGAAGGTAAGTGTGGAGAAGAAAACATCTCAGAAAAGATGGAGAACCTACAATATGTTCTTTTGTCTTTAATATTTCGCTAAAGCCTTGAAGAAGAGATACCTTGGAGTTTGTGAGCTACTTCTGATCATTTTGGTCCTGTCTGTGGTGATCTTCTTCTTTCCTATTGCCATATGGTTCTGTGTGAAGGTATGCTTTTAACTTTTGGGATTAAATAACAAAAAATAGTATAATGTATTTGGTAACTGTGTTCAGGTCCCATAACTTTTATTTATAAATGTTATTATGTATAAAATTGTTTATTTGTAGATTGTGAGAGAACATGAGAGAGCCATGAAATTTCGGTTGGGGCATTTATTGCAGAAGAGACCAAGGGGGCCTGGTACATTTTAATTTACATATTAACACTTTTACAGTTAGCAAGGTTCTAGTTATTATTAAATACATTTCATTTTAAATATATTTTCATTATTTAATTATTTGATTTATATTTATTTTATAGTTTAATATTACTTTATAATTGTTAATGTTACATTCAAATTTGAAAGCTAAGATAATTTTTTATTAATATTTCATTTTAACATTTTAATAATCTCTGTTTGTGGACTTCATCAGTTTATTTTAAAAAGAAGTCTTGTTTTGTATACATTTATAGTTTTTTAATTATTTTAATTATTTTGTATTTTTAATCAAAAATTGTATTCTTTTATTCTTTATTAATTTTGCTGCAGGGCTGATGTTTTATTTCCCATTTTTGGATGTGTGCCATATAGTGGACATTCGTCTGAAAATACTGAAGATCCCTCCTCACACGGTAATTTCTTTGTCTTGAAAGTAACAAAAAAAGTCTCCGTATTTTCTGCTCATAGACCTTAATCAGGTTAGACGCCATATTGAATTTAACATGGATGAAAACGAGTATGTAAGGGACGACTTAAAGCATTCACAATGGAACGCACTGTATAAAAGTCTAAGATCATGTATTTTCATAACTCAAACTGTTTTACAGAGTTTTTGTCTACTGAAAGTCAGTCTACAGACTGTTTTTTCGAAAAGACATTTTGTCTGCTGAACAGCCGACATGTTGCTGTACAACAGTACAGTCCATTGAACACATTGTATTTCTATCCCTCACAGCCTTGCTCACGAGGGCTTGAAACAATACGTTTTTACTTAGTCTTCATTTGTCGGGCAGGTCAGTTTAGATTCGGTAACCTGCAGGTGGGGTATCAAAGTGGAAAGAGCGGAGATGTAAGTACGTAGAACAGATTAGACTCCAAAGGTTTTCCCACTCGTAACATATGTCCACTGTTGCAGAGAAGAAATCAGTCTTCCACCTGAACTGCAACACAACTTTGCTGTGGAGGCCGAAGCGAGACGTCAAGCACAAGTCAAAGTAAGGCCATAATTACAAAATGGGATTTGAACCCACAACTTTTTAGTTTACAACCCAGCTTTTTAACCACTATGCTTCGCACAGGTGATTGCTGCAGAGGGAGAAAAGGCGGCTTGTGGGGCTTTAAAGGCCTCTGTAGAGTCTCTCTCTGGTTCTCCAATGGTTGTGCACCTTCGACTCCTGCAGCTCCTCAACAATCTGCGCTCTGAGCAGCCCGCTGTGATCCTCAACATACCTCCTGATGTCCTGACTCAATCCATCGACCTCACCAGTTTGACCAGACCTGCCAATCAAAGCCTGACCACAGGCGATGGCTCAGATGATGCTAACAAAGACTCGCCCATGATGTAAAGGCAACATGACTGTCAGTGTTCACTTAGGAAGAACAGTTTGAAACGACTAATTTTACGTAGACATGCACAATATATCAGTACTATATTGGTTATTGGATGATATTTGAGATCGGTATGGGTCAATATTTATTTGTGCTACCTTTAGTTACCTTTGCTCCATCTAACTCTCACTTTAACTTAATCTTTAAAAACACTAATAATTTACACTATTAAATGTAATCTTTAGCTAATCTCAAAATTAATATTAATTTTATGATATGTGCAATACAAGTACACTTCAAATAAAGATGTATCTATTGAATACTTCATTATTTTGCCCAACGTGAGCTCCAGTATGGTGCTTATTCCCATTTAGCGTTTTTTGGTGCCTCTGGACAGTTTCGGGCTGGTTTCAGGTTTCTGACTTCTTGTTTTAGCTTCAGAAGGGGTGCTGGGGGCCTTGGGTGCGGGTGTAACATTCTTCTTGCTCACTGTAAAAAGGGTAAATATAGTCAGAGGTTAGGAAACTGGTCAGTTCATGACATATACTGTATTGACATAAATAAAAGATTTCACAACATGATCAAGTCGAATTTACCAAATTGACCAACAGAAAGCTGCTTGGTTTGAAACTGACTTGTATGAGTGGTGCTTCATAAATCACTACACTTACACTTGGTCTCCACACTAGACCGAGCCTGTAGCTGCCTCTCCAGATCTTGTATCTTGTCCAGAGCTGCCTGAAGGTCTTCTTCGGCCTTTAGCGCTCGTACTTCTACACTGATAGCTCTTGTCTCTACATCTCTAGACAACACAGCTTATGTTATGTTTAGCTGTAGTACAACAAGACAGATATTCTTACAGACTCACTTACTCATCATAGCACTGCAGTCCCTTAAGGCCTTTGTTTTTTATGATGTGATATTCTTCTGGGATTAATGTTTCCAGTGAACTCACGTCCTTCAACCCAAAAAACAACACCACAAAGCTTCAACATACAAAAAGACATAAAGAACTTAGCACTAAATTCAGGTCATTCTCCTGTCACTTGCATTTTGATCACCCTGAGCAGAGCTTCGTTCAGCCATTGGTGGGAGAGCATCACAGAGGAAGGATATGTCTCTGTTCAGTGTCACAGTGAGCTAGAAAAAGTGTATTGTAAATACAGTGGGTATAGAAAAGAAACACCCCCTTTTTAAAATAATCACATTTTGTTGCTTTGCAGCCTGAAATGAAGACGGACACAGTTTTATCCAGCTCTATTTACTCAGTGCAACTTATAACATCCAAGTGAAAGATAAAACACCAACTTGTCAGAGAAAAAAATAAAATAAAAAACAGAATCACTGAGCTGGAAAAGGATCACCCTCCTAAAAATGACTTGTAAACTCAATCAGGCGTTGCTAATAACTTTCTCAAAGGAACACAAAGCCATTCGACTTTCAGCTGTGATCAGCTGTGGTCATTTCGATTAGCTCAGCATGAAAAGAGCTTTCCTGGAGCATTTCAATCTTTGGTAGTGCAACTGAAGCAAACAATAAACTATGGATGGCAAGGCACTGTCAAAAGATCTCTGGGATAAAGTTGAGGAAAGGCACAAGTCAGGAGATGGATACAAAAAAAATTCAAAGGCTTTTTTCAATGCCTAGAAGCACAGGGAAGTCTATTATTAATAAGTGGAAGGTATTTGGTACAACACAGACCCTCCCTGGGTCAGGACGTCGCTCCAAACTGGATGAAAGAGCAAGGTGGAAACCGGTCAGAGAGGAGACCAAGAGCTACAGCAACTCTGAAGCAGCTGCAGGAATTTATGACAGAGTGGTCATTGTGTGCATGTGACAACGATATCACAAATTCTCCACAAATGTGGCTTGTATGGGAGGGTTGCAAGAAAAAAGCCACTCCTCAAGAAAGGCCACATGCAGTCACGGCTGAGCTTTGCCGAAACACACCTTAAAGATTCTGAGGCAGATGAGACTAAAATTTAATTATTTGGCCTCAACACCAAACGATATGTCTGGCAGAAATCCAGTACAGCTCACCATCCAAATAACACAATTCCTACAGTAAAGCATGGAGGTGGTAATATCCTGTGGGAACACTCCTGACCCAGTGCTCAGCCCACCATCTCCCCCACCGCATGCCCAAGCCTGAGCTCGCCGTAGCTGACCAGCTCCATCAGGCTCCTTTATCCCTTTGGCTCCTCCTCAGTCCTCTGTCACTCCGGCTCAACCGCAGCCTTTAGGATCGCCGCCTCCGCATCAGTCACAGGCGCCATCTGCTCCGCCTTGGCCCTCCGGATCCTCCCTGTCTCCCTGGCTCTCCGTCTCTGCCTCGGGCTTCTCCGTCACCTGCTCTGCTGCCGTCGGTTGGCCCCCTGGAGTCGTCGGCCCTTCCTCCTCCATGGCTCCTCCCCTCCATCGGCATGGCTGTGGCCTGGGTCCCGCCCGGCTCCTCCTGTTCCAGCTCCAAGCCCTTCCTGTCTCCTCCCTGGCTCTTTCCTCCAGCAGTATGACCCTGGACTCCGTTCATCGTCCTCCTCCCGGGTGTCCGTCCTCCTCCCAAGTTCCCTCCGTTCCTTCCTATGTTGTTCCTGCAGCGCGAGGACACACCTTCCGGGAGGGAGGTGATATGTCACGCCCATGGACTGTTTGTGTGTTTTGCTCCCCGTGACCCAGTTTCTCCCTCTTGTTGATTTGTGTTAATTTGATTCCAGGTGTGTCTCCTTAGTCCTCTCGATTAGTCTCTCGTTATCCTGTGTTTATAAGCCCCAGTCCGTTCAGTTAGTGTTGGTCGGGTCTACTGGTTATGTTCGTGTGTCATTCCTGTTGTGGATTTACCTCTGTGATTGTTCATTAAAAGACTGTGTAACGCTTCTCCTGTGCTCCTTCCCTCCGGCACAGTTGTGACAGACATGGCCTTACTCAGTCAATATTGAAGATATAAAGGTTATATTTTCATGGAAAGTTCTACATCTTTATGAAGGATGATTTTATGTAGAAAACAGTAAATCACAAAATGACTTCAGCTGGGTTTTCACAGGCATGGCCACACACGTGTGTGCGTGTAAAAAAAAAAAGATGATAAAATATAAATATTACGAAAAGCAGAGAAGCTTGTGATGTGCCATAAATAAATATTTGGTGATCTTGAATGAATACTGAGAATAAATTAATGTAGTAAGTGATGTGGAATAATAAATAAAATGAATTAAGAACAAAGTTGGTGATTAGGCATAAATAAGAATAATAACAGAAAGGGCTTGTACTGTGGCATATATAAATAAATATTAAGAATAACAAAAAACAAACTTGGTGATGGTAATTCAATAAAATAAAAAATAAATGGGCTATTAAGAATAATGAAGAATAAAGTTGGTGATTTGAAAGAAAAAAAAAGAACGAAAGAAAAGACGAATAAAAACAAAAGTGGTGATTTTTGGCATGAAAATTAATGAACGCTAGAAATAATAGAAAAGGTTTGTGATGTGGCATTTAGAAATAAATGTTAGGAATAATGTAAACTTGAATAAGTAGGCTATTTATAACAGAAAAGGTTTGTGATAAACATTAGTAATAACAAAGAATAAATGTTGAAACGGAACAAATAAATAAACGGAATAAATATTAACATTAAAGCTGGTGATGTAGCATGCTAAGACAAAGAAAAAGTTAATGTAGATTTAAAAAATGAAGATTAACAAAGAAAAAGTGAGTGCTGTTATTATTGTTGCTGGATAACTAAGTTGACTCACTATTATTGAGAGCAGCGCTCGGTCTCTTCGTCCTGTGGCTCTCGGGTTTCGCTCCATCCGGAGGAGACGGGCTGCACTTGACGGACACTGACATGCTGAGACTGTCTAGACTCGCCGGACACTGTTTACCTATTAATCACCGCGAAAAAGACGCAAAGACGCTAAAACATTAAGCTTTCTGCAGTTCTCCATGCTACAGCGCTCCACACAACGCATTGTTTCGCTACTGCGCGCGAGCCGTTACTCCAAAACAGCACATAATAAAAGTTTGTTGCCATGGACGCGTCGCGTTGCGTCTCTGCGCGACTTTCCACAGAATCAAACTCCAGAGACTCTTCTGACTAACATGAACACAATACTTCAAGAATGATGTCTTCTTCTATCGCTAATTTAGTCAAATTAATCCTTTTTAAAAATTCATAAGTGCTCTCATTAATAATGTAGCGGTTCAGTGATGCCATGGCAGCCACACAAATGAGTTTGTTTACGGTGTACACACAAACTACCTCAAATAAGTTTGTTGAAGTCCTTAAATTACTAAAAACTGAAAAAAACAAAAACAAAACAAAAAAACAACAGCAATAAAAATGATAGCACATAACAAAATTACTAAAAGTTAAACTGAAATTAATATGAAAACTGAACTTATAAAAATTAAAGCCACAACAATATTAGATATAATAATAATAATAATATAGTATATCAATTCTGGCTAATATAGATAATGTTATATCTGACATTATCGGCATAATGTTATATCTGACAATATCGGCAACTAGGCTAGCCAATATTAAAATGTAATATTATTTTGTTCAAATAAATCAAAACTAAAAACACAAATAAGTTGAAGTTCTAAAATTACTAAAGCTAAAACTGACATAAAAATAAAGTTATATAAAAATATAAACCCCCAAAAATGAATAAACAGCACGTAACAAAATTACTAAGTTAAACTTAAATTAACATGAAAATATAAAAATAAAAGCTCCACTAACATTATTTAATAATAATAGTTCATAACACTATTATGAACTATTTTGAAATAATTCAAAATATTAATAAATACAATATAAATGATACAAAAATAACACTGTTAGCATGGTTTTAAAGTTTTCTTCTTTCATTCTTTACAAAATGTAATTAGAAAGCATATTATGGTTTCTAATTACAGTTTTTATTATTAAAATGAACATTTAATGATTAGACATTTGGATAAAACATACTAAATACTATATCATCCAAATTTGAAGTAAGGCTTTGCGTCC